GGGAAAGAAGGGGAGCTTCTGCTGAGCTGGTCCTATCAGTGGCCATCATAACTTGAGAGCTTAGATTCTTGCAAGATTCCAAGGCAGGACAACAAGTTGATATATTCATGCCATCCTTGTTACCACAGAGAGATTTCATATCTGAATCAGGGGGTTGGCATTTAAACCCGGGCAACCCGTGGGTTTGTACCCGGCCCACGATCACCGAAGCCCAAATATGGCCCAAATACGACCTTTACTTGGGCTTCTTTTTTTTTTAATCTTATTTTATCGAATGTGAATGTAGAAAATATTTTAATGCATGATTATGTGGGTCATGTTTTACTTAGACGTGTATGTAAATGAAGATTTATAACTTTAAAAGCAGGGGGGAATATTCGTCGTCTTACACACTTTATGTTTTAGATTTACGTAAAACCATGTATTTATAATTCGGTTTGAAAACAAGTACATGCAAATTAAATATCGACTTTAAATTACGATAAAAATGTACGTAGGTATGCCTTGTTGGACATCGAATGAAAAAAAAACCATATGATGTGAAAGTATTAAAATAAAGAATGGATGGTTCGACCATAGAAGTTGGTGGAAGAATACATTTGTTACGAGACAAAGGGGGAAAGGTGGTGCCGAGGAAAATCATCCGAGCGGACCGAATAATGGCAGGTTTGGGGATTCATGGGACCAAATCACACTACAAAAAAAACATGTCATTAGCAACGAAATTAGCAACGAAATGTATTTCGTTACAAAGTTAGCAACGAAATTGCAACGTTTTTTAATGAAAACGATTTCAATTTTTCGTTGCAAAGCGTTGCAAAAGCATTGTAAAATCGTTGCAAAATCGTTGCAAAACTATTTATTGCAATTAGCAACACTTTGCAACGCAATAATTTCGTTGCTAATTTACAATGTAATATTTGCGTTGCAAGAATTGCAAAATCGTTGCAAAATTATTTCTTTGAAATCAACAATGATTAGCAACGAATTTCCTTTTGCAATGCTTATTTCGTTGCAAAAATTATTATTTAATAATTAATATGATTTGACCGTCAAAAAGTAAATATATAAATTTGCAACGAAATTGCGTTGCAAATTCAATTATCAACGAAATTGCGTTACAAATTTAAATTAATTTGTGGCTGCGATTGATTATGGTTTTCACGCCTTTTGTAATGAATTTTCGTTGCTAATTGGATTTGCAACGCAATTTCATTGCAAATTTGCAACGAAATTGCGTTGCAATATTTTTCTATATATTCAACATTCAAACACAATCCAAACACAATCCATCAACAATTTCTCACTCTAAAAATTATCTAAAACATCTCTCTATTCCCAACTATTAAAAAAATCAAATAAAAATATATTTTATTATTTTTATTAAATATTTATTTTATTATTTTTGTAATTATTTATTTATAAACCTTAATTTATAACTTTTAAATAAACTTTATAATTCTACAAATATATATATATATATATATATATTTATTATCTTTATTTAATATCTATATTATTTTTATTTAATATTTATATTTTATTAATATTTTTTAAATAATTATTTTAAAAATTTTAATTTAATTCTTCTAAAAAACTTGAAATTCTAAATTATTTTTTTTTATTTTTATATTAATTTTAGCAACGAAATTGCGTTGGAAATAGCAACGAAAATATTTCGTTGCAAAGCGTTGCAATTTGCAACGAATTTAAATGCTATATTGGTTTGCAACGACGAGTTGACAACGAAAATTTTTTCGTTGCAATTTCGTTGCAAACCCTGTTTTGCAACGAAATTTGTAGGTTTGCAACGAAAAATTTTCGTTGCTAAAAGACTGTTTTTTTGTAGTGTCAATACCAATTCAGAAAGACAACTGCATATTTCTGGACCAAAATGGTCCATATACAAAGGCTGATCCTGGATCTATAGTAGATATAGTCGGACCGAAGGTCTGGAAAACCATCCTGGTTATCAAAAAAAATAATTGCGCATTTGCATATAACGATAATAAATAAAATGTACGTTTTTTGTGATTTTTTTTAATAATATAGAATTTATTTAACTACATCTCTCAAAATATCCAGAAGTATAGATGAATGTTTTTATCTAAGTGGAGACCCGAACCTAAGTTAGAAAAGAGTTTTAGCTCATCTTTACGAGTTGAACCATCTAATATTAGATTTTTTTTGGTGAATTTTGTGTGTATATATATATCAGCAAAAATAGGTGGATCATTAGTTTTCACTGGATCATTATTTTGGTTTCTCTTTCATCTTAATCCCCAAATGCATATATGATATATATATATGCACGACCTCTCAAGGAGCACACGCATTAGGGCAACTAAACCCTAGCACACAAAATGATTATATGGTTGCTCTTCAAGTGGATAAGCGAAGCGTATACCGTCAGGTACTTGTGGTTTTACTGGTGGGTCGGTTCGTACTTTGCACATATTGTTTCAAGAGCTTGATGCAGTCGTTTGTTGTATATTCTCTGTGGAATCCTTGGAGATACTTTTTGGTCGGGAAAACGAGGATCACGCTTAAACTTTTTGGTCGGATAGTAATAATTATGGGGCGATAGACTGTATATGAAATGATGGGCCCTTCTGTCATCATTTTGCTTGTGTGTGTGGACATGCATGCATTGCGCGTGGTCAAGAGGACGTAGTATAAAAATTTATGTAAATGAATTCGCTTTGACACTCGTACCATGATAAGCGATGGTACGTACTACGCTTCTCACATTAAGGTGCGAACGAATTTTAATTAGTACAAAAGGGAATGAAATCAATGACGAAGGTTAGATAATTTTGGTGGAACCGTAATCATATCTCGACCAACGCGCATTTCGTCAAAATCCTCGAGATTTTTTTTTTTTGATATCCCAATAAATATGCATATCACGCGCGGTTATTAGGAGGAAGAGAGAAGAGATCCCGATGGCAAATTTGTGATTTCAGCTAATTCGAGGGGTTATGGATGGCATTTTGTTTCTTCGAGTAACTGTCATATAGAACGAGGAACGGCGGAAAAGAGAGAAGAGAAGCAGAGGGAGGAGGGGAGTTCGGTTAGATCTGAAAAGCTTTGAAAGAGAGAAATGGATGGGGAAGAGGGACAAGTGATCGCTTGCCACACCGTCGAATCATGGACCGACCATCTTCAGAAGGCCAATGACTCCAACACCCTCGTACGTCTCTCTCTCTCTCTCCCCCTTGTGCAATTTGCTTCTTTAATATTTGATTCCTGAAAAAGGTTTCCATGTTTTAGGATATATGGGTTGTCGTGAATCCTGATTTTGATTAATGGGCTTCCTCAAAAATTCCCGATTTCCTGTCGTAGTAGTGATTCGTGATCCTACACTTGCGACGCATGCTTTTTATGGTTATGCGTTTATCTTTGTGTATGCGTGTGTATATATATTCGTATACTCGAGAGATACTATGCATTTTCATCTGAATCTGGATCGTTTCCAGATGTTTTGATGAGTGATGATGGTACGAAGGGTGTTTTGATGTTATGGCTAAATGGGGGAAGGGATGGATGCGCAGGTGGTGGTTGATTTCACGGCATCATGGTGTGGACCATGCCGATTCATCTCGCCCTTCTTTTCTGAATTGGCCAAGAAACTCCCCGGTGTCATGTTCCTCAAGGTTGACGTCGATGAGCTCAAGGTAATACATGAATTTTCTGCCTTTTGAAATCAAAATCTTGGCTTGAGCGACCAGATAGAACATGAAATCTGTCTCAATAACCAGTTCGATCGTGTAATGAAGTACTTACTATACGTTATAGTTCACACGAATGGTGTAAATCTCAGAATCTTTGGCCTATAGTGAATGATGTAAGTTCAAAATAACCCTTTTTCCTGTCTTGTTCTTTCGGCCATTCGGCATTCAGTCGGTGGCAAGTGACTGGGCGATAGAGGCGATGCCGACGTTCATGTTCTTGAAGGGAGGGAAGATTGTGGACAAGGTGGTCGGCGCCAAGAAAGACGAGCTTCAGCAGACCATCGCCAAGCACATGGCTTGATCCATTCTCTATTACACCCATCCTTCACTTTCACCTATCAATGTTATCATCCTTTGTTTTCTTTCAACAAGTCTTTGGTTAAAAACACTGTTGTTAGTCTTGAGGACACGTCTGAACAACTTCATGGAGTTTTCAAACTGATCAAAGGATTGTTGTCTCATCGAGAGTTATTACATTTGCTGTCTTTGTTTATTAATTGTCTGATGGTTCCTTTCTCTTTTTAATTTTTCTAAATAAACAAATACCGATGTGAATTATTGATTCATTTTTTTTTTGGCATGAAAATATATTGATTCATATCTTAGCAAAAAAAAAAAACTGTCAAATTCGGGATGAGAGAAATCATCTCGTTAAATCATTATTTCTGATTCTTAGAGAATGATTTAACGGAGATCTTTGACGAACAACATATATCCATAAATCTCTTATATATGAAATGCCGTTAAGATAAAAACACAAATAAATTACTCTAAATAAGGTGAAAACTTCCATTCTTTAGGGATAGAAAGGGTTCATATGAATCCCGACATTAATATCACTGGATTCTTCCAAGAGAGAGAGAGAAGCAACAAACCCTAATGATTTAAAAAAAAAATCAGGGTTTTGCTCCATCTCCACGTCAGAAAAATCAGTAGAACCCTAATAGTAGTAGTAACCACAGTTACAATGTCCAGAATACGTATGATGATGATGATGATGATGATGGCAAGGGTAAGTCGTAGGGTAAGCCATGTTTGGTTGCCAGTAACCAGATAAGGGCAGTCCATGAGAGAAGTAACCATAGTTGCTGCCGTAAAAGTTAGGATCACATGGTTCGAGCCATGATCCCGTTTTCACGAACGCCATCTCCGTGCCTTTGTCCGTGTTCGAACCCATCAGTTTCAGCAGCTTTTCAATGTCCCCTTCTCCGGACACATACGCCACTCCTTCTTCCACATCTATGGCGAAATCCCCTCCTCCGAGAAAAAAAATCACACAACAATAATTCATTTGCTAACATCAAATGTAAATATGGTTTTAAAAGAATAAACGATATGAAGGTCGAGAGAGAGAGAGAGAGAGATACCTTTGATTTTCTTGAGGATTTTCGCCATGCTCTTGTGCCATCCTGGTGAATTGGTGCTCACCTTAAACCCACATGTCTGCAAAAAATAAAATACACATGGAAATGTAATTTAACATTGGATCCGGGATGGGCCGACATTTTTTTTTTGTAATAACCTATTTGATATATGAGAAATATTGAATCGGACCATTCTTGTGGGATGATGGTTTGAAAAAAACATTTTGACTACCCGTTTGGAAAAATAATATGAAGTATTGATTTGATGGGGAGTTTGTGAAAATGATACTGCATGGGCCGTAGATTTATATTGGATCGAATCATTAATATTTTCCAAAATTTTGTTTAAATTAGTTGCTTTCTTATATGGGAATAAGTATCGATATTCGTAAAAAAAACAGATGGAATTCTGGATTAGGCCTTTTCATTCCTTATTTGGTGCTCTAATCCAAAAATCTTCCCATGGCTAAAATTATGACCGAAGTCACCAATCAACAATAAAAGCATATATTGAAACAGTATACACGCAGTAATAGAGCTGTGAGGAGGCCCACTATTTCAAGGCCCAATAAGAACCAAACTACTAAGCCCATATATAATGGGCCTATTGAATTAAGCCCATAGACTAACCCTCGTCGTCGTATCACAACCGAGGCGTGCGTACGCAGGGTTTAGCAACACTCCTCGGTTCCTTGCTTCGAATCGGCATTGAAATCAGAAAAATTTCCCACCGTACTCAGATCAGTAGTCTGCCGGGTTATGCTTTAGAGAAATGGGTTTCGGTGCCATCAGAGCGATTGTCCGTCCTCTTTCGAGATCCCTGGTTTCGCGCGCCGTCTCTAGCTGCTCGACGACGCCGTTTCGTGCGGCGTCTCCGGCCGTGAAGCCCGAGTTTTCCTGCGTTTTCGGTGGATCAACTCTACCGAATTCGCTATGGATTCCGGTGGTTAACCATCTCCATAGCTTGACTGATACCCGGCACCCGAAGAGGCGACCCATGTTTAATCCCAAGAGAAAAAGAGCCAGCTTGAAACCTCCAGGTTCGCCATTTCGTCTAACTTCTTGATTTGCGATCGCCCGTACCCATTAATTCATCTTCTTTCTTGAACAAAATAGTGGCATAAGACATGACTAGGGCGCGTAAGATTGATGCCCATCTGTGATCTATTTGTTCTTCTTTTGCTAAATGGGGACGCGCAATCTTCACTAGTATGTTGTAGTGTTATAAGATTATATGCTCTCATGTGTGAACTTGTTTGATAGTTGAATTTGCTTGTGTGAGAGCGTTACTCTCTGAAAATTAAGATCTTTAACCTATGGTATTTGATTGAATAGCAGATTCTGAGTTAAAAAAAATTGATATTGAAAAATGCAGGGCCATATGCATGGGTCCAATATGTGCCGGGCCAACCAATCTCTCCTAACAATCCCAACGAAGGAAGTACCAAAAGGAGGAACGAAAAGAAGCGCATGAGGCTGCGTCGCGCCTTTATACTGGTTCGTGCTTTATCCGAATCGATTCTGAGTAATATAAACAGCTTTTTCTTCAGCCCTGTTCTTCCTAATAACGGTGTCTTAGATTCTTAGTCTTTTAGATGTGTGAAAATGTGGGCAAGATTGAAAACTTTAGCTGTTTCCCTTCTGGGGCATGATCTCATCAAGGCTTCATCTTTCGTCTCTCATCAACATGGGCGGCCGCCAGCCATTAGTGTTTAAGCTATGGAACCGGTGAAGAAAGAGACGTGTTAAAGGGGGGGTTTTGTGTATGAAAATTTTCAGGCGGAGAAAAAGAAGAGGAAAGCGCAGATGCAGGAGGCGAACAGGAAGAAGAAGATAAAGCAGGTGGAGCGGAAGATGGCAGCGGTGGCGAGGGAACGGGCGTGGTCTGAGAGACTTGCTGAGCTTCAGCGGCTCGAGGAAGAGAAGAAGAAATCCATGGCTTCATGAAACGTTTCAGTGAAAACCCACTTATAAATTGCATTAAAGGATTTGTCCCTCTCGTCTTTTTTGCTTGTGGTAGTGGAAGATCGAGAAAGACTCAGACGTTTGGTTCAGGTTTTTCTGTTTGTACTGTGAGATTGCTCGCAAGGTTATGTCCGCGAGTGCCTCGACCTTCTCTTTCTTCTTGAAAAAGAATCTGCTTAAAACTGTTAAAATTCAAAGCTCTTTTTATATACAATTAAATTGAACGAACTTTTCGGGTCGTAACTTAAAAAACGAACAAGTTAAATATTTATATATATAGTTGTACGTATCTGGGTATGTATAGAAATACGCATAGGAGTAGATATAAGGCGTTGTGTATATGAGGATGCATAGACATTCGTATAGGTGTATGTAGAGATTTATTTCATCATTGTCTCAATAGAAGATTGACTGTAAGCGGATGTGCATCATCTGAAAAACACGTGGCCGACATGTACTTTTGTCAAATTTAAGAAAAGTAAAATCAGAGTTGTTCAACATATTTGACTAATCCTAATTTGAAAAAACACAAGTAGAGTTACGTATGCAAGGTTTGCTGGTGGTCGATGATATTATATATATATTATTTCATCAAAACCTTAGTTTTGGTTTTAAAAAAAAAGGGACAGGAGGATGAAGGGAGTGAGGGAGGAGAGGATAAAGAGCAACGGGATATGGATGAAGGTGGCGGAGAAAGGGGATGGGCCGATGGTGATTCTTCTCCACGGCTTCCCTGAGACCAGTTTCTCTTGGCGCCATCAGATTGAGTTCTTGTCGGAAAGTGGCTTCCACGTGGTCGCACCTGACCTCCGTGGCTACTCCGACTCCGACTCCCCTCCCCGCCCTGACTCATTACTCCATCCTTCACCTCGCCGGCGTCATCGGCTTGCTTGATCACTACAATGCTCCACAGGTGGGTCGATTGGTCAATTCAAACACTAACTAATCTTGAAAGATGCTTGACTGAGTTTTGCTCAATGTCACTGGTTAGGCGTTCGTTGTCGGGCATGACTGGGGAGCCCAAATCGGTTGGCATCTTTCCTTGTTCAGACCAGACCGAGTCAAAGGTTTCATCAGTCTCTCTGTTCCATATTTCCCCAGAAACCCTCTCCTCAAACCCATCCAGTTTTTCAACGCTAATTTCGGAGATGGGTTTTACATCTCCCAGTTTCAGGTATGAATCCCCTTCCCCAAATTTCATTGTCTGCTGTCATGATATGCATAGAAAGAAATGGTTCCGTGTGATAAAAGAAAATCGTGATCAGCCTCAATAGAAACGTAATTCGTCAAGACCAATATGCCATTGTTGACCAATTCTTGATCTGGTTTTGAAGGAACCCGGAAGAGCAGAGGCGGCTAGAGGCGGCTTTTGCGAGGTACGATTGCTTGACAGTGATGAAGAAGTTCTTGCTGATAACGAGCACAAATAACTTGGTGGCTCCTCCTGGTATGGAGATCATCGATCATCTCCAGACACCACCCACCATTCCCGAATGGATTGCCGAAGAAGAGCTTCAGGTTTACGCCGAAAAGTTCCAAAAATCTGGATTCACCGGCCCTCTCAGCTACTACAGAGCCATGGATCTGTAAGTTTTCTGCTCCTCCTCCCATGGAGTCATCATACCTGTAGAAAGCAAACAAAACTAAAAAGAACAAAAATGGCAGGAACTGGGAGCTCACAAGGCCATGGCAAGACTCCAAAATCACGGTTCCAACAAAGTTCATCATTGGAAACAAAGATATCGGCTATGAAGGAGCCAACGGAACAAATGCTTACGTGAATGGAGACGTGTTCAAGAGGTTCGTACCTGATCTCGATATCATTGTTCTTGATGGGCATCATTTTATTCAGCAG